GATGAGGAGGGAACGGCTACAGCAACCTCGGCGAAGGCAGCCCCTCCGCCCACCGACAATCCGGACGGGGCGGCAACTCCAGGACGAACAGCTACGACAACATCTCCTCCTCCACGGGCGGGACCTCCTCCACCGGTACAGGTCAACGCTCCTACGGAGACCAGAAGCAGGTCACCACCGACCAGAACCACCAGGGACCCCAATATGCCAGCAGCTGGACCACCGCCTCCTGTTCCTGCTCAGATGGTGGTGGCTCCACCTGATGGAGCCCCGTGGTTTGCCACCCCGGTGCAGCACTATCGTGCCTTGCATGGCAGCACACTGGCTGAGTCATCTGCAGTCGCTGCCCACGGCGGACCGGCTGCTGCTGAGGCCTCCACCTCCACGATGGGCCCCATCCTGCCGCCGACAGGGCCCACAGGCATGCCAATGGCCCATGGCACCAACTATGGCAGCGCCGACAGTGCCGACAACGAGGGTCACAGCTGGAGCCCGCCCACCAGGATCTGTTAGCCAGGGCAGCGCTAAGGCCAAGGCAGTCAGCCACGCCAGCCACACTTCCAGTGGAGGATGGAAAATCACGGTCATCATCGAGCCCCACAACCAGCAGTGAGCAGCCACGAGCTGCAGAAGATTCCGTGCTCAGCCGACCATGGCACCTCTTCCGCAGAGATACCGCTCTTGTCGCAGCAAGAGAGAGTACGCTGCTCCCATGGCCACGAGTCACACCGGTGAGATCCGTTTGTGACAGACTGCGAGTGCTGCATGTTCTGCCCACCAAGGTCCGAAGCATGGTGCTACCCATGGGTCTCCTGGCAGGCCACTGCCGAGCCACCAGATGGTCACCTCTGTCCCTGCTACCTACTAGGAAGGACCAAGATGCAGCCTCAGACTCGTCCACACCGAGCTCCCACCAGCTCGGAGGGGCAGCCGCAGAGCTGCATGGGGGAGGTCGACCTCCTGCAACTCCTCTGCCGTGAGCCCAGACGAGCGTAGGATCCGTTCACCTGCAGCCAGCAACCTGCTAGGGTCATGCCTGCACTCTGATTGCATGACACTGGACTCCTTACAGCTTCTCCCGCAGTGCCTCTCAAGATCTCGGTTGGGGCTACCTTCCCCTACTGGGTCCGATGCAATGGGCAGGAAGCAGCCACGGGCACCGCCAGAGCCCCTGGCTGATGATCTTTTCTGTAAGGCTGAGGAGCTGACGGCTGGAACAGACGTGACGGTCATTGGTGGTGCGCGCGGCAAGATCCATGGCTATCACGCTATCATTCTGAAGAGCAAGGATCCGCATGCTACCACATTCAATATACGCGTGCTTGAAGGCTCGGCCGAGGAACGGCGGAAGGTGTGGACAATAGATCGTGCGCATGTTGTCTATAGAGCTCCTCAAGGACAAGTGCAGGACGATGGCATGGACGCGTCATTGAGGTGGCGTGTCACGCCACCTCCATTGACCGTCTATAGCGCTCGGTGGCTACTAGGGTGGCAGTCGTTGTCGACCCTAGTGCCACCAAAACCGGCGAAGCCGAGCGCTGGTTCTGACGACCCCCAGCCGGTGGCGCACTCCGAACATGCCGCTTCTGAAGACACAGATAAGAGCCCGGGAGCGGCCAGTGCCGGCGCCACCAGGCTTCATCCGACGCCCAAGCGCAAGCGCGCGGGAGTGCTTCCTGCTGCTGCGCCACAGACAGCTGAAGAATGGGTGGAGGTTGAAGTTGAGGCTGAGGAGCCTACGGCGGCGTCTACGACCACAGCTGCAGCCGAGTCTCGGGAGTATGCGAAGCCGAAGCCAAAGAAGCGGTCCGCCCCTTGCAGGCTCCTGCTCTTGGTCCTGAAGAGGGAGCACTACGACAGACTGCACCTGGCCCACTGGATACTCCTACCTCGAGTTCTGGTGTGCTCCCGCAGACAACCGGGGCTGCTGGGGACGCGACCACAGGTGCTGTCCAGCTTGACAAAGACTCGGGAGCCCCGGCTGCCACCACCGCCGTACCAGCTGCTGGCGGACGTGGAGAGGATGAGACTACCGGGCCTCCATGAGGATCCTCCTGACCGCCGGCAGAAGCGGAAGAAGAGGGCGAGGGACGCCCGGGGTAGTGAGCCGCGGTACTCCTCGTCGATCACGGCTAGGCTGGCCGAAAGGCCGAGAGCCAAGCCCTTTTTGGTTTCTCACCTCTGAGGACGAACGGTCCGAAGAACCGAAGAGTCGGCGACGACGCGACTCTCAGTCGGGTCGGGCATACATGTGTGCTTGCTGCAGCTACCGAGCAGGCAGTGCATGTTGTGCTGCGCATGTCCTCGTGCCTAGGTTGGCCCAACTACCTGACGGGCTGCTGCCACCAGACACTGGTGCCCAGTGCCAACACCTCCTGTTGTCACGGGCGCTGACCCAACCGCACAGGTACGTCCTCGTGCAGGATGCGAAGGAGACTGCCCTGACCCAACTCTGCGGGCGGCGGTTGGTCACCAGCCTGCTCACTGCGGGGGGCTATCAGTCGCTGCACTTAGGCCCTGGCAACTACCCAGCACGGATGCCAAACTACATGCCCAGATCCTTGCAGGTCTACGGCTCTAGCTTGCCATGCACTCAGGGCTGGGACACTCGACCAGGTGTGCGTGATCCTCCGAAGACTCCGAGCTCTACCCGGTCAGTGCTCGGATTTGTCTCTGCAGGCATGGGCCAAATCCGCCCTCTCAGGTCTGCCTGCTTCATTGGCAGCAGGCCTGTGGCTACCAGATACGGCGTTTGAATCCCCTGGCTGCCACCGGCAGGGCTGGCCGGACAGCTATCAGGATGCCACAACCTGTGCGGTGTGCCAGAGGTTTGGACTCTATATGGTCACACATGCATCAGGGACTGGTCTGTGCACCGCAGGCATGCCAGGTCGCCACCGACCCTGCCGTGGATACGAGTCTGTCCAGGCACAGACCTCGCTCCCAAGCGCAGATCAACCTGTGTCCCATGACTGCTTGTCAGGAGTTGAGCCGAACTCTACGGTGACCCCTGCTGGGCCACAGGCCCGAGTGCGAGTTGGCTACTGCTGCTTCTCCACCCTTGAAGCGCCAGGACTGTCTCCGCTACTGGAGGGAGGCCTCATCCAGTCTGGTAAAGAAACATCAGGAGGGCTACTGCGTCACGTATGCAGGCAGATGATCCTGAAGGGCCTCTCTTTTACCTGGCCAATCCAAGGTGTGAAGGCTGCTGTCTACACTACAATCGTTTCCGTCCGGTCACCACCCGTCTCTTTACCGGGAATCAAGAGGGTCGTGGGAACAAGATGCCTAAACAAAGGCAGGCCCCCACCATCGGGGAGATACTTGATCTCGAGGCCATGGACTGAGGCCCAGACCCTCTGCACGGAAACTGCGACCTACAAGGCCACTGGGACCGGATTAAGGCTTGTAGCTCGGGCTGCTGCCACTCCTAAGTCGCGGCTAGCAAAGCACTGTAATATCGACAGCACCACGCCACCATTCAGCACACCCGAGGCGGTAGAGTCGACCTCACATCATCATATCTCAACAAAGAGCCTCTCCGGTCCCAAAGCCGGGGGTCGACCTGCAATATTACTACCATGCAACCCAATTGGATGTCACAAGATCGGCGAGCCACCTGTGACAAAAAGGTCGATTGGGGTGAGGGTTGGGAGTGACTGCCGCCCACTCTTGGAACCAAAGATCCCACCTGTTGCGTTCGGAGGGAAGCCGTGGCGTGAGCGTCACCACTGTCTCATCCCCACAGGGACTGCCCCCGATGGCTCCCTGTTTTGTACTCCGAAGATGCAATCTATGCTTTGGACCTATAACTCATTTTCAGAGGCGCGCGCAATTGCTGGAAGCATCTGCCCCTGCCTGACCTCTGCCCAGACCAGACCTGGTCGGTGCTGTCTATGTCTCGAGAACCGTGCTGCATTGTATTATGTGCCAGCCTCCAAGCCCCGATATGTGCTCCGCTGTCTTCGTAGGATTCCTGTTTGTCTACTTACTGACATGGCTCCAGCACTATCGCACCTTACCCGTTCCATACCATCAGGCGGGGCTGCTGCATGCCGTCGGCTGCCTGATGCAGCCTGGGACCCTGCCGGCAGTGACTTGACTCCAGGTACTGCAGACAGCACCAAACTACTGGTGCGACCGGTCGGCCGTACATGTGCGGCCCCTGGAAACTGAGATGGCTAGCGGCCGCAGCCCTCATTGTGCCATCCAGGGGTACTCTCCTATCTGGGCAAGGACCTACTGTTCTGAACGGGAACTCTGTGTCAACCAGGCAGGCTCGGCATCCGACAGCTCCCTCTGCAGCACTTAGCTTTGCCAGGAAGCGCTCCTACAAGAGGGCTCTTCACAGGGCTTCCCAGCACGCGGATCAGCGCACGGTCTATAGGGGCCGTATCTGCACGCTTCGACAGCTCTGTCGAGGATATCAAGGTACACGTGCTCCACCGGACCCGAATCGGCAGCTCCGCCAGGCGGCCTTGCAAAGAAGCCATGATCGGATCCTTGCTATGACCTGGAATGCGGGGGGCCTGTCCTCCCATCTGTGGCAGGAGCTCTTGCTGACGGTGGACAAGCTCCCTCTACCCGACCGCCCGCAGCTCATTTGTGTGCAAGAAACACACTGGGGCGCTACCGTAGCCCCTACTTTTGTCACTGCTCAGTGGACAGTGTACACTTCGCCCACCACGGACAACAAATCGGCTGGCCTTGCCGTCCTGATCCACAAGGATCTCCTAAAACACGCGCAGGTGGTCTTTGCTGATCCCAAACCGGGACGTATCCAGCACATCCGCATCATACACCAGCCATGGACGGCTGATGTTCTACATGTCTACCAGAAGCCGCACAACAGCCACCCATCAGCTGCCAAGGACTCAAAGACGCTCCGGGCTGAAATCTGGAATGCTCTGCATGAGCAACTCTGTCGGGTGCCCAGACGCAGCACCCTTATACTGCTAGGGGACTTCACAACTGTCCTCTGACCAGCAGCCCACACGCAGGTGTTCGCATTGGTGCCGGATCTGGCACACCCCCGCCGGACCAATCCAGGCTCCAGCAAACCCTTGAAACCCATAACCTCGTCCATCTCAACTCCTGGTGCAGGACCTCAGGGCCAACCTTCGTGCACTCCAAAGGCTCCAGCCTCATTGATCATGTGCTCATGAGGGTTGAGCAAGCGGATAATCGAGCCAAACAAGCTCGACCCAAACCATTGGGTCTGGCCGAGTGGAGGCTAGGAGGCAAGCACATACCTGTGTTTGCGAGCCTTCCCTTAATTCGCTTTACACGTCTCAACAAACCCCTTGTGGTGCGGAGGAAATGGGATCATTGGGCGGTAGTTCAACTTAGCCGCAATCCTGCTGACCCCCGATGGGCTGAGCTCTGCCGGCATGTGCAGGACAGACTCCACACGGCTGATAACCTCATATCTCTCAATCAGCTGCTTGTCCAGTGTGCTACGGAGCTCTTCCCTGCTCCAGCCAGGACACAACGCCTTGCCCCCTGGCAGACGACTGCCATGCAAGGTGGCATTAAGAGCTTGTGGGAGCGCTATCGTCGGTGGAAGCTGCTCGCGAGGACCCCACCGCTTGACGCTCCGAGTTGCCCGTGCATATCAAGACTTCAAACAGGCACATCGTGACTTCAGGAAGGCGGGCAAGGAATGCAAGAAGCAGTGGTTTCGGGACAGAGTCGGGGATTTGCAGAAGGCTGTCCATGCTCGAGACTCCAGAACCCTCTACGCTGGCGTGCGCTCCCTGGCCCCGAAGCAGCATAGAGTCAAAGTTCAGCTGCGAGACCCGCAAGGTCGACTTCAGGACCCTGCTGAACAGCTCAAGCAGCTGGAAAAGCACTACCGAGGCCTTTATGCCGCGGATTCTGATTCTGAGACGGCGGGTCCCCGTCGTGCTGCGGTTCAACTGGACATCGACTCTGCCGCACTGGCCAAGGCCTTGGCCGCACTGTCTCCATACAAAGCCACCCCACCGGACCTCGCCTCCAACGCTCTCTGGCGCATTACATCTGATGTTGTGGCCCCTGCGATTGCCCGCTGGGCCAAGGAGTGGACGAGCATCCCCCAGCTGTGGAGGAATGCGTGGCTCGTCTTGGTGCCCAAAATACCACGACCGTTATCTCCGAAGAACCTGCGGCCGATAGGCCTGACTGAATCCAGCGGCCGAGCTTACGCCAGAATGCTTCAGGTACAGCTCAGACCCTTCGCCGCCGAATATCTCCAAGGCATCACACAATTTGCCTATCTTCCGAACAGAGATGCGGCTATGGCCATCCAACGGGTAGCTGCACACTGCAGGTCTGTGGAGCAGAAGTGCTCCCATGCCACTCGTACAGTGGCGGATCGACAGGAGTGCCTACCAGCTTCTGCTCCTAGCTTCGTGGGAGTCCAACTATCATTAGATCTATCAAGCGCCTTTGACCTTGTCAGATGGCAACTGCTGGACAGAGCTATGCCGAGGCGGGGGTACCGACGGAACTCCATAATGAGGTCATGTCGTGGTATTATCACATTTGCTATATGGTGGAACACCTAGGCAAAAACACGGAGATAATTGCCCAACAAGGCCTGCGCCAAGGCTGCCAATTAGCCCCCACATTGTGGGCCTTGGCTGTGGGCTGCGTTTACAAGCACATCCAGGACAGTTCAGCTCCAGACACTATGCAATCCTGGCTTCAGGCCAACTCCACTACCTACGCCGACGACATACACCTCAAGGAGACTGCGACCACTACTACAGGTCTGGACAAGGCTCTCCACCGATTTGGGCTAGTGCTTGATGCTCTGGCCGGACAGGGGATGATCATCAATGCTGGTAAGTCGGCCTTCCTCCTTAGACACCGAGGATCCTTCCTCAAAAAATGGAGGCGACGACATTGTCTCTCCACGTCGGAGGGAGACCTTCTACTCTTTCGCACTCCCGGAGGTACTGCATACCGCATCCCTTTGCGGGAGCAGCGCACTTACTTGGGCATCCGGATCTCATATCATGCCATAGCGAGCCACACGGCCTTACATCGCATTCAGGCAGCCAATGCAGCCTGGCAACGCCTGAGGCGAATCCTCTGTTCTCCCAGGCAGCTCCAGCTAACAGCTCGAATCTCGCTCTGGAAATCGACTGTGCTCCCAACCCTGCTCTACGGACTGGCTGCTGTGCCCTAGTCCGAAAGATATTGGGAGAGTGCAGGCCCTCATCATCAAACATGCCCGAGCCATGGCGCACTCGTACGCACACTTGCAACAGGAGTCCACCCAGAATGTACATGATCGTCTGAGAGTCCCCACGGCCCTGGACAGCCTCCTGAAGGAGGCCGCCGCTCTACACAAGCGGCTGCGTCTTCTGCAGGATCATTCTGACTTCGTCCAGGCGTCTGCCGTCGAGGACATCCGGGAACAAGCAGCCACGCTCCAGGCCTCGAGGGAGGTGCAGTGGACTGCCCCTGTTGAACCGGAGGCAGGGCTGCTGCCTCACACCTGTGTGGAATGCGGCCAAAGCTTTGCGTCCTTTCGTCTCTTGCGATCGCACGAGGCTAAGAAGCATGGACAGCGCACACCTCAGTGTGACACTCAACCCTTTGATCGTTTCGCGCACGGCACTGGTGGCCTGCCCACCTGCAGGCATTGTGGACATCGCTTCAGGCAGTGGGACAATCTGATCAAACACATCAAGAAGAACCGCTGCAAAGTTCTCAGAGATAGGCTGGATTTTGCCCGGGCCTCCGAGCTAGCCGAAGTGGACCCCGCAACCCTGCTGAGTCCGCCAGAGCCGAATCCGAGGCAGGAAACAGCTCATGACCCGCTACCATCGGGCCGCGCAGAACCGAGACTCTGTGCAGAGGCTGAAAGCTCACCCGCTACAGATCTCATTCCTCGCTGTCAGCAGACAATTGCTGCTGAGCAGTCGCTCTCCTACACCCCGACCACACCTCTCTGCACCTGGCCGGAGGTACAAGAGGCACTGGGCAAAGGACGATGGTTCGACCTGCCCCTTAACCAGAAGGTGCAAGCCTATCTTGCGCATCACTGTCCGATTTGCATGCAGTGGGCAGCGACACCAGGGGGGCTTAAATGCCATCTTACGGCTGTGCATCCGACTTGGAAGGCTCTGCAGCCGGAAGTTCGTAAGCTGCTCTCAGGGTTCAGACGACACACTGTTGTGCCCTGTAGATATTGCCACCTCACCCAGTTTAATAAGGATAGGCACTGGTATCAATGTCATGTACTCAGTCTGTGTGCCTTTCTAGCCGTGCAGCAACACCATGACGGGAGCGGAGATGGATCTGGACGAACAGGAAAAACTCTTCTTTGGTCAAATGGGGCCGCTCAAGAGGGATCAGACCGCACCGACCAGAGACCCGGCCTGGGGAAGAGACAACGCCTGGAGCACCAGGATCCACCCAAGGGACGAAGCAAGGGCAAAGGCAAGGGCAAAGGAAAAGGAAAGACGAACTCCCCACCGCCGCAGGGAGTCTACCCGGCCACGCGCATGTGGGCATACTCCAGTGGTTTCGACGAAGATCTGGATCAGCCATGGATGTCGGACAGGACCTCTCGATCGACGTGGCTGGAGGGGAGAGTGGAGAAGCTCACCCAGCTTGCCTTGAGGCAGGAACAGGTCATTGCATCCCTACGCCAAGACATGACAATGTACCTGTTCATGAAGACGGGGGACGATGGCATGATACCGGTCTTATGCCAGGCGGCGGACAAGTGGCGAACCATCAGGGAGGAAACACCGGACAAGCTGAACTACTCCTTGAAGCTCACGATGTTCAAGCAGCTCTTGATCTCCCTTCAGGAGAGACTGACGGAGACGGCCAAGTCGCAGCAGGCTATGGAGCATGCTCGCTCCCTGGGTTGGTTGGACGGCGACCAAAGCTGGAAAGTCCTGAAATGGAATCCGGCACAACAGGCCCTGGAAGTGGAGACTGCACTTCGGGCCGTCCCGACGGCAGATCTGCTGGCGCAGATCGTACAGGTCAGGAAGGCCACTACCGAGGAGACGTTGCTTCGCTTCAAGAGCATTCGTCCCCTCTCCACCGAGGTCACGACGGACTGGGTACAGTTCCAGATTGCAGTCTCCCTGCGGATGGACGGAGCTCCATTGTGGAGCACTCTCCAACAGTGGATCGGCCAATCTGCGTGGCACACCCTTGGGTGCCGACTCAGACGCGACCGTCCGAACTACGACAATCTGGTGAGCCAGATTTGGAGTCGAGAGTGAGTGCGATCCCCGGCCTCAAATCTGTGCTGAAGCTACCCTTGCACAATGCCACCAACTTGTGCTATCTCAATTCCACACTAGTGGCCTACATGTGGACAGTCCTTCAGGCTCAACTCCATGGGCCGCGTGAACCGACGCTGGCCACGATCCTAAGTCCAGAGTAGCTCTCGTGCAACGCTTCAGGTTGTGTCCCAATTGCCCTGGCGGGCCCTGCTTGGAAACTGGAGGCAGCTGCACCAACAACATGATGCTGCAGAGCTCATTACCTACCTGCTTCCGAGGTTCTCCAACACAGGACTGGAGGCGAGTTGGGAGGCTCGACTCGACACACCGCAAGGAGTACACAAGCAGGATGGAGGGGAACTTGTTTCGCCTCTAATCATGGCCCTGCCAGCAGGGGGAGATCTGAGCCTTGAAAGGGTGATAGATCAGTGGCACTCTCAGGCGGCCCTTCATGCTCTCACGGGCGTTCCGCCTTACCTGTGCATACAACTACAGAGGTTCACTGGGGATTCAAGTGGTCTGCAACGAGATTCCAGGCCGCTGCATGGGCACAGATCGACTGTTCGGCTTCCCTGTTTTGATGCTGATGCTAGTATCCACTGCTCCTGGGCTCTGTACCAGGTGGTTGCGGCACAGCTCCACTTTGGACATAGCCCAAATGCAGGACATTATCGATCTGTGCTTTACGGGCAAAAGAAGTTTGGGCATCAGAGAGCGGTGGGTGACAGATGACAACACTGCTGCACAGCTTGCAACTGACGATTACGTACAGAGCAGCTACCTGCTCTGGATGCGCCAGGTGCCTGAAGATGAGTGAATGAAAATACGGATGAGTTCAGCATTTTGATAGAGCCGGCCGACGGCCCTCTAGATCCCAAGGAGGATCCAAGTATGCATGAATACCATGCTACTTGTCAGCTCGCTAGGCGAAGTCGGACGATTTGCTGCGTGGGGAATGAATGCTACTGCTACTGCTACTGCTACTGCTACTGCTACTGCTACCGCTACCGCTACTACTGCTGCTGCTACTACTACTACTACGACGACGACGACCACGACTACTACTACTACTACTACTACTGCTACCA